CACACACACACACACACACACACACACACACACACACACACACTTAAAAGGTATAGACACAAGCTACACTTATTCAAACACAGACAATGGACAAACAGGACACGTGAAGGCCAAACACACATCCAGCATTTGATCTGTGGCTGTTTGGAAGTGAAATTTGCTCAAGGTGTGCAGTGAGTCCCATTGTCTCTAATGGATTGTACTGTTGCTAAAGGAGGAAGAAACTAAACTAAATGTTTCTCAGTAAGAGTAATCGCCACAGACTGTACATAAGAAGTGGACGTAGCCACCGTGACGTCACCCATTGGTTTGTGGAACACCATTTTGAAGCCTCGAGTTCGTCATTTTGGCCGTCGCCATCTTGCTATTTTGCAACCAGAAGTGACACGAGAGTGAGAAGTACAACCGAACCAAAACGTTACAATTATCTTTGAAAAAATGAAGACAATGTGTTTAACAGGGTTAAAGTTGTAAGAGGGAAAACACGAACAACGCCCAGACTGGACAACGCCGTGGTAGCGAACTGTCAATCACAAGGTAGCCCCGCCCTTAAGCATATCCCGCTTTATGGTCTATTTTACTCGAAATGGGACCATCACTAAAGGAACATCATGCTGCATTGAAGAAGACCTGAAACTAGTGATTGAGCCCATAAACTGATGTTCACAATGTTTACTGAGGTAGTAAATCAAGTGAGAAGCCGGGTCATTTTCTCATAGACTTCTATACAATCGGACTCATTTTTGCAACCAGAGCAGTCGCCCCCTGCTGGCTGTTATAAACGTTCAGGCACTTCTGCATTGGCTTCACTTTTCAGACCTGGAGGTTTCCGCCTGGCCAACACATGATAACTTCTGTGTATCTGTTCAGTGCATTCTATAGTCCCGGGCAGGATATCGCCTCCATATGGCATTTTTCCTCCGATATGTTTCCAATCATCTCACACTATATAAAACTGAACCAACACAAGGCTGACGTCACCCCGCACACATAGAAAGGACACAACGTGACGACCGATTAACAGGTGATAATGTAAAGGACAGGGGTGTTGTTAAAGAGACGGCGAGTCACAAAACATGCTCTTTCAATGCTTGTTGGTGGATTCAGTCTGCAGACAACTCGTCGTATTTTGCACACTCGGGAATTGATTTGTGTAACATGATTTCAAATAGAATCTTTCATTTTAAGTGGCAGCAGTATTTGTAAGCATTCAAAAACGATCCTCTGTTCACTCTGCGTGTCTCTCATAACAATTTGAGTTCAATCTGCCAGCGAGGGAGAGCTGGGAGATGTTATTTGCTCGTTTGTCTGTAATCATTGCTGTCTTGCTTGCTGTGCTGTTGCCTGTGTATCTGTGTGTGAGACACAGAGAGCTGGTGCTGTAATGACAAGAGACTTTATTTCCATTTCACAGTTTGCCATCACCGCCTGTCAGTAGTGATTCTCTTAATCCCCGCTGCCTCACTGTCATGTGCTGCATCACTCACACACACACACACACACACACACACACACACACACACACAGTACAGAAAAAATGCATCACACACGATCAAGGCATTCACAGATAAACATACGTCAGACACGCAACATACCGAATGTTCAGCGATAACTCACTCAGCCAGTTCTCGGTATCGGAACACCAATTACATCCATTACCATCAGCGCGAGTGGGCTTAACATCTAACCCGCAGGAGAAGGTCAGGAAGAGAAGTTACTTTGAGGCTGCGAAGAGTCGAGTGTAGAATCACAGATCGTTCCTCTTCGTTTCTTTAAAACCACAGAAAAAGTCTTTCATTCATGCTTTCTGTGTACAGATTACAGGGAAAGGTAACGTAAGATGACTGCGAAGAGGAGATGGAACTGTGATAAAACTCCGTCTTTCTGCACAGGTAGAGCTCACTTCCTGTCTATTTATGCCTCCATCCCTACTTTGATGAATAAGTCTGCCTGATGTTTCAGATGTGGGATGAATCCGAGTTGAATTAGGGAACTTAACCCAAAAAAAACAGAGCCCCCAATATCATGGTGTCCCACTTAAAACTCCACTTCAAACCAAAGTGTAATCTATAGCGTGCAACAAGATGGGAGCCGCCTGACGCCATGTTTTAATGCGATTGAGAAAGTGTGTCGCTTCCCTCCCTCCTCTTGGATGACTTCAAAAAGTGAGCAAGGGAACTGTGTGATGTTTTTTTGGGACGGCAAAGCCTTTACTTTGACTCTTTCATCTGCTGGGTGACTCACTCAATCTCTCTCTCCGCCGCCGGGCCCGATGGTGCACTGAGGGAACGAGGAGCTCTGATAGGCCTGCGCACACGCACACAAACAAACAACTTATGTTCATACACCAATGCTTTAATGTGTGTTTGTGGAGCAGCTATGATGTAAACATATACCAACCGCAGACACACAGAGCCAATAATCTGAATGCACTGCGCGAAACATCCTAAACTTTACATCTTTCTCCCGTAAAATCAGATCCCTCGCTCTGCCTCCCCCGTCTCTTTGTCTCCCGTTTAGTCCGTTAGTGTGAGGTGAATGCAGACCCTCTTTGATCATCCCTCAGTCTACGTCTCTCTTCTCCTCGTCCTAATCCGTGACCGACGGAATAATGTGATTTGGTGTCTCTCCAAAATGGCAGAGAACCAACCTAATAAGTCAGCAGCGGCGGTGGGCAAGAGAGAGAGGCAAGATGCGTCTACGAGGACAACAATGACAACAACCTCGTACCACCATCTTCTGGCTGAGAGAGAGAACGGTACGCTCACCAGGGCAGAGAGCACAACGGACCAAAGCTACAAGAATGGAGTCATATGGATGGTTTATGATGGTGTACTAAAACAATGTATTAAATCCCTGGTTTAACTTTTGCATTTTGAGGTTAATGTTAAGACTTCTCTGTCATTTTAGGAGGACATACAGTTTCAAGAGATACTTTGGAGATACTACTTAAGAGCAGAGATCCACACAAACTAGATCCACAGAAACAAGAGGCACAGAGCGACCGAGACTGGCACTGTGCTCGGTGAACATTTGGGAAAATCCGGAGAGTGCATGTTTTGCACTAAAGAACATCTTGGGTGGTCTGTTCACGAATGCACAGCTCTAAATATGGACGTGAATGCAACGTTGAAGACACATTAAGATCCAATCAGTCAAACCACATTTAGAGACGGTTCGGTCCAATAGTGTGAAAGCAGATGGATCTCCGGCCACATGAAAAGATTGCCTAGTCAGCTTTGTGCACAGAACAACAAACAACAGTTATAAACAGATGATTTTTTTCCTTTGCCAAAGAACTTAAATGAGGGCTGCAGTCTGTGCCCGTGCTGAGGTACCAAACTGCCTCTGCAATCCTCTTCTGCAACAGTTTCTCACAGATGAAATCAAAATTTGAGTCAAAAATCTGCTCACAAATGATCACCGTAGATATATTATCCATCACGACTGAATCCAGATGCAAACGGAACATCTGGATCCACAACCTTATATAGGAGAAGGCCAGCGATGCTCGCCAAACAATAGCCAGCAAGTTGATCTCACCAAAACACACATTTGATCAGATTTGTTGGCGGGGAACTGGTAGCTTTGAAATAATACAAAGCACATTAACCAAGTGTATTCGATTTTGTTGTTCATTTCTGCAGCCAAATGATACGAAAAGAGCATCGGCGCCTACAGAATCACTGGCTGTCGAACAAGCCGAGTACTCTGAAAGATACACAAAAGAAAGCTCCGGCACCAGCTAGGGGACTTGTACTTGTACTGACTACTACACTGAGTAAGACAACTTTTCGAGGAAGAACCTCTCAAGTTTTTGGATGTCTATATACTGCCTCCTTGAAGCAAAGTGAATGACAAAAAAAGAGAGTAATTGCAAAACAAGAGGCCTTCCTACCTCAGCTTTCTAATCCTCCACCTGTTAGTGTGTGCGTGTGAGGGAAAGAGCGAGCACTTTCGTGTCACATGGGACATGGCCAGAGGGACGCTGGTGCAGTGACACAGGCAGCTCGGAATTGGGTACTGCCTGCCAAAAAAGCTGCTTTCTCATTGGCTGATGTTTGCCTCCAGGTGGTTTTGTCACACTATGTTAGTGTTTGATGAAATGCCCCGTCCCTTTGATCTGAAGTGAAAGTAGGGAAGCATTTTACACACATGCAAACACACACACACACTCACACACACACAATCATACACCCCGGTCCACACAAACATATCAGCCAAAATGTGCACATCTAATCTCCACAAGCAGTTGAAAAAGCTCTCCAGACTGAGAGAAAATATGAACAGTTCCAGACGTTATTCATCTGCTATCAAACCTGAGGCCTCTTGAACTTTTGTCTCACGGTATCTTAGATCTCTAGTATTGACAAGCAGGGAGGGAGTACAATACAGCTGTGTGAGGTGAAGAGGGCCAACGCAAAGACCGTTTCTCCTTTAACCAAACTGTAAGCTCATACGAGTACTGCCTATCGAGCACTGATTGCAAATATGACCTGTGTTTTGTATGCCAGGCATCTTACAGAGGAGAGTGTGTGTGTGTGTGTGCACAAATGTACGTGTGCTACGAAACAGTATTCCCTCACTGCCTCAAAGCTCAGCGATGATTTCTGGTAACTAAAAACTAAAAAGTCCTGATGTTCTGTGCCACAACTTGAAGGCACGGGGGGAGGACGTGGGGGAAGACAGGGAGAGATGGACGGGTGGAGGAAGAAGAAAAAAAGAAGGTTAGATAAGGAGGTGGTGTGTAGGTGAGAGGCAGGATCCGTGCCCACTGTAGCCCAGAGATGAAGCGTCTTTATCAGGCACACAGGCAGCTTCACAGGCCCCTCAGTGGAGAACGGAGATTGGGAGGTCTCACTCACACTCACACACACACACACACACACAGATAGCCTTCAATATTAACCAGACTACCCCCCCCCCCCCCCACACACACACACACACCTTCTACTCAGCCTACCTCCATCACTTTTCCTTCTCTGCTCCTTTCCTTTTTTGGTGCAGCTCAAATGTATGGAACTATCTGAACGTCTGATATTCTGTTTCTCATTATTTCATTCCAACAGCTTCGACTGTCTACTCCCAAAACACATCCCATCCCCCTGTGTCCCTCTCTCCCTCTCTGTCTCTCCCTTAAACGCACGCGTCTTTGATGGGAATCCATTCATGGATTTAATGGATTTCTCCGGCCCTTTTTTCCAGGATCTAGGAGATGTGTTGAAAAAGAAATAAATAAAAGGGAGGAAAAGCTGGCCAGCCCAGGCTCTGCTTCCAAGAGGATGGTGGACTGCAGAGGACAGCATTTCTGTCTGCATCAAAAGAATGAGAAATTTTCAGCTTACAGAAAAAGGGCGAACGAGTCAATATGGATCTGAGAGCTGGCTGACTTCAATCCAATGTGAAAAAAAAAAATGGGCACTACGAAACTTTTCCCTGCCCACTCCGAAAGTCAAACTTGGAGACAGATTAGAAAGTAGAAAAAAGGGGGAAAGCGAGACGTTCAACCTTTGTTGATTTTTTTTTTTTTTCTTTTTTTTTTAGAAGCGTGCACTTTCAGCTGACAAAAAAGCACGGAGAAATCATTAATCTCTTTCATAAAAAGTGAAACCAGCACATTGCTTATAGTCTTATCAGTCTGAGTTCAACATTCAGCATCACTGCTTTGAATCCACTCCAGATTCCCCCGACAACTGTGGGTCATTTTTTCCCCTGCGCACAAAAAAAAGGGAAGAGAGAGAGATGACTTACAGGGAGCCAAAAAGATAAATAACTTTTAGCTGCAAAACAGACTTCACATATCCAAAAAGGGAAAAAAAAACAAAAACGGGACAGATAGGGAATAGCGTGATTTCTTCAAATGAGGATTAGCCTGTAATAAGAACACTCTTTCCCTCGGATCTCTCTCCCTTCAGTACCCCTAGTTCTGTGTGCCATATGGAGCCAAAATGGCCGACTGGGTGCTTTGGAGGTCCCTGCATTCCGGGGCTAATGCTGCGCAGCTGGCGCGGGATGGTGTCTAATGAAAAATGCTCTCTTTGATGAGACCTGCTGAGGGATTAGGTTCTGATCAACCACCTTAGGTCAGCTTCCTGCTAGACCAGCACAAGATTACGGGTGATTTCCCAGCCGTGGGTCCAGTTTCTGTCGTGGCGAGGAGGAGCGAATGTGAGACAGATTGAGAGCAAGAAAGAGAGGAAAGCTCAGACGTTCTTAATTGAAGTACTTCCTGGTTCACTAAGATAGCAAAGCAACCTTATGTTCAAGGATCCAGGATGCACAGTAATAGTAATATGCTGGGTTCAAGGTGGTGTTCTCAATGAGTCTGTGGGTGCAGCTGAGAGGACACGCGCACAGGTTGAACCCCAGCTTTGATGTGCAAACATTAAGAACCTTCGCTACAGCGGTGAACCCGAGCAAGCCTTCCTTCCCCCGGAGGCGGCGGCGGCGGCGGCTCGGCAGGCAGAGCGGGTTGCGGCAGTTCGATTCCCCGGCTCCTTCTGTCCACACGTCTGTCAAGACACGGAACTCACCTTGCAAGGTGGCTTGTTGTTGTCGGCGTGGGAGAAAGGGTGAATGAGAGGGGTCGTAAAAAGCCTTAAATAGGATAAAAGCTCCATACGACCACTCTCAGGCCTACTCACACAGACACGTTCTGTTCTCACTGTCCACACTGATGAAAAAGAACAGCTTGATAAAGACAATATTGTTCACATGTCCTCTGACAAACATCTAAGTGAGAAGGAGACATACAGAGAGACAGTGAGAGTTCCAAAGGAAAAAAATAATCTTGATTTACTAAAACAATATAACAAAACACCATCTAGAACCCCGCCTCGAGAGTTAATAGAACCTCTCCACCTCTCCCCTTTCTTCCTTAATTCAGTATTTATTGGCCATTTTAGACATTCTCTTTTCTAGTTTCTGCAAGCGAACAAACGAAGGTGTCATTTTTCATGGAACCTTTGTTCAAATAGACATTCCCCCACACAGGCACCAGAGAGTGACGTAACGTGATTTATGCAGACAGCATCCTATTGGAAACTGACTCTTCTCCCTCCTTCCCTCCACCCACCTTCTCTTGAGCAGTGGCCTTCTCCTGCTGGTGGCTTTCCTCAAGGTCGCCACGGATGCGCTCCATGTCAGAGCGCAGCCGGTCCACGGACGCCTCTCTGTCCAGGAACGCCACTCGTTTCTCCTCCTCCCGGAGTAACGCCATCTCAGCCAACTGTTGCTTGTGCTGCGTGTGGGCTCCTTGGAGGTCATCGCGGTGACCGGACAGCTGGGCTTCCAAATCGGAAATCGTCTGGAAAGAGACGGATAGAGTAAGAATTTAGGTAAGTGATGTGAACCAATGTCCTGCAGATATCATGTGGCTCTGAGATGCTCTTCGGTTTAGATTTCATATTCCCGTTGAGAGAAGAGGTACCGTCTTAATTGGTTTGTTTTACACTTCGATGTATTGTAAGATGTAGGCTACCGTGGTCTTTTTGGCTGAAGTGAACCGTACTTAAGATCTATTTTTGTTTATCCCTCCAGATGGATTGATGTCGAAATATGTTTATTTAATGTACCAAAGAAGACAATTTATTAGAACATCCACCCATATTCTTTCCTCATGCATTTCTGGCTGGATCACTGGCTGGGACGCTCTCTGACAAGTATGTGAGGGATCAAGAGAAACACAAGTATAATCTGTGTCCTGTGGGGTGAAAATAAAGAAACAAAGATATCCACGTGTGAGGGAGTTCCTGTGAAGTTTTGCAACCATGCTTACATCTCCTCTGTTTCCCTCTGTGTGTTTGTGTAGCTGCAGCGAGGGCGTGACCCCTTCTCTTGACCTCTCTTTTTTGAACTTCTCAGCCTCGACTTTACCCCCGATGAGCCGCTTTAATCGTGCTGCCAGTGAGCGGCAACATTACACAGTATGAATGCCAATAAGCCCAACCCCAGAGCCTCAGAAACACCAGAAATAAGAACCGGTCTCTGACACATGCGATGAACTTACATCTCAAAAGTTTGGAAAATGCCCAAAAGGAAGAAGATATGCTTGTTGTTTTGACAAAACTGCATCACTTAGCTGCTATTATTAAGACCGTTTGCAACCTCAAAAGTGAAAGAAGTTCTTTCTTAATGTAAATTTCACATTATTTGAAATGTTCGGCTTCAGTATGAGGACATGGGGCCATCTATTTCATAACGGGATATCACATGTCCACTGTCCTCAAACAGCCACTTTGTAATACATGACCACACATTTAACATGTCTCAGTATAATATGATCATTCTCTAAAATGTACAACACGCAATAATCAAGACGGCATCGGAGTGAAGTGCAGGTGGCTGCAAGATGCATCGCAGTTGCCGTGTTACACCCTTCCCTACCTATATTGCACATATTCCCCAAGCTATTGCACATCCTCATTACTCTCCTTGGTTTACTTGGTTTATTTCTTACTTGGGTTTCACACCCTGTGCTCTGCCCCCTGCCCCCCCCCCTCAAAAAGCCTGGGCATCCAAGGACAACGCCACGTTAAGGCAATCAGACAGGAAGTGCCTGAAGTCTTTTTTAGCGGGCACTGGGGAGAATCAAAGAGACTTCAAAGGCGTGTCACAGAAACAGGCAGATGCTGTGGCTCCGTGTGTGCCAATGTTGGAGAGAGTATGACACAGCCAGATCCACTCGTGCACACACTATAAACAGCCATACATGGTCGAGCTGCCACACACACACACACACACACACACACACACACACACACACACACACAGTGGCATGCAGCACATTCAGAGAGAATATGAGGCAAAAGCAAAACAAACACATGCAATCCTCTGTCTCTCAGCGTCTCCCTGCTCCGCTTGAGCCTTCAAGGGCAAGCAGCAATAGGATCTGAGCCCTGGAGAATCTTTAATGTATAATTCTCTCTTTAACAAATGTGGGTGATCTGCCTTCCAAAACTCTTTTAATAAGTTAGAGTATAATCTCAGAAGAGAGGCACTGGCAATGACACTTCAGAGGCCAAAAGAGCGAGTCTCCTTTGTAAGAACGTGAGCACAGCCACATCCAACAGGAACACGTGTCAGCGCGCAGGGGTTGACGAGCTTTGTGACGAAGCGGCTCTCTGCCACAATAGGAGCGTCACATGAAATGTAACGGGTCAAATGGTGCCAGTTCAAAGGACTGGGGAGAACAACAGAACGCTAGATAACGGATTTTCTATGTTTCAATCAAGAGGAAAATGGACACAAAGTCAAATGTGGAAGAGACGCCATGAGACTTCATCCTCCACTGTAGATCTTTATCGCTAGAATATTGTGAGAAACAGAAGTTAAAAACACCAGAAATAGCTCCACGGCGCTTATAATGCAACTTGTTGCACAGACATTTAAGCCATGTGCTACTTTCCCTGCAGAACCGTAATATGGAAGTTGTTTAGGCAGCACCTAAGGGTGCGCTGCTAATAAAACTGGAGGTGTTGGAACTACAACAAAGCTGCCACTCTTATCGCTATTCGACAATATGCAATCTTCCATTGTAGGAAGAATAGCAATCATGATTTGGTGAAGAGTGCTTTTATAAAAGAAGGACCTCGTTTACCGCTCCAGAGTCCTTTCTGATCAGACAGATACTAAAGAGGGAAAAAGGGTTCAATCTTTAACATTACTCTTAATGTACCAATTATTCTACCTTGTGGACGACCGTCAGACATTAATGTAATAACATAAGAGGAAAGTGATATGTTTTCCCATCTTAAAAAAAAGAGGCATTTCATGAACTTGCTATAACTACGAACAGGCTTTCTCACAGCAGATATTATGACTTGGCAAACACCGGCGCAACTAATGACATTTATAATAGCTGTATTCCATCTTGGCATGTCAGCGCCAGGCCCGGGTATTGTGCACGTTGGCTCACAGGCGCACCTAAATGGAGCACAGCCATTCATCTTATTACAGTAGTTGCACATGTGCTATTCCTCAAATGACTGCTAAGAGAAAGTAAAGTTTGCATTAGCATGACGGGTGGGACAACTTTTAGCTTAGACTTTGTTGACCTAAGCTATAAACCTTATTTATGTCTCGACTTTCTTTCTACTTTGAGAAGTTTTTAATACTATCATTTAACTTTTACTGATAGTTGGATGATACCACTCCCAGGTCTGTGCAGTAACTGTGGAGCTCAGTTTGTGCGTGGATTAAACAAACAATATTCAACCAGTTATCTAGTGAGCTTCAGAGGCCCTGGTCGGCATATTTCGGAGCATTGGAGAAAACCAGGATAGCCGTGTCTCCCTGCTTTCCAGTCTTTATGCTAAGCTAATCACCTCCTGCATCTAGCTCCACAGTTAATGCACAGGTGTAGTGAGATCAGAGTGGTGTCTTCTCATCCAACTGCAACGCAAATAAGCATATTCCCCATAAAGTATTGCTTTAACACATTTATTTCTTCATTATCTGTTCACAAAACATTTCCTCAACTGTTGTATTCATCTGGCCCTCATGCCGACACTGTTTCTGTCATTAGACAGTAAAGAATAAATAAATATAAATATAAAAACATAGGTAAGAGTGTCGCAATGAATGTTTTACTGCCAGATAAATGTGGCTGAGATCCAAGATGTGATGTATGCACACACTAAATGTCTTCATGGTTCGAGAGAGAACACGCTGTCACACTCTTCACAGAGCATCGTGAGTCACTGATGACTTCGCCCATGATCAATCGTTCTGAATATAAAAAAAAAAAAAACAGCTAGGTTCCAACATGCACTGCGCATGGGATGATGATGATGATGAAATAATTCAAAGAGTCACAAAGCCAGTGACAAACACAGCTCAGTGAGAGATCCGCTACTGGACGTCATTGAGAGACAAGACGGGATCCGCTTGACGATACCGGATCTCGGGGGACCGATCATTCGGTAAATGGCAAAACACAAGCGCTGGGACAATCGACGTGCACACCGGTTCTAGCCGTCTGCCTGGTTTGCTTCATCTGACTTCCTCTTAGCTCGGCTTAACTCAGTCTGTCATCACCCTCCTCATTCGTCACGTCTTAATCACGTACTTGGGATTGAGACGCTTTGAAACATTGACAGCATCATTATTTAGTCCATCGTGGCCCAGAAAGAAGAACCTCACAAGGCTGGCGCTCTCTCCAATGCCGTTTGAAGTCCAGGTGGCAGCGCACGTTCCTTCAGAAAGATAAATAATTAGCCTGGAAAATAATACCTAGTTCTGAGGAGGAGCCGGTGGGAAAAATATGAATGATGGATATTTGCATTGAACAAACAATTCTGTTGTTTGCAACAACAAAAAACAAAAGCAAGGCTTCAAATCAATTCATAATGCCTGTCCTAGTTTGTTATATATTATTCAGCAAGCGAAACACAAAACGGAGTATTGTGGGAAAAATAGCAAAATATGTTTTTATCGTGTAATACAACGAAGCTTTACATTCTCCAAAATTGCTTAAGTTTACAGAGAATATGAAATAAGTCCTGCGATAGTTTCAAGGATGCCTATTTTAAATATATTCATAACACTCCATGGGTGGAGGATTTCATCACAATGTGTGCGGTGGGGAGGCGAATAAAGAAAGGCCTCTACACCAGGACTGGGGCGTGTTAGAGAGAGTACCAGTGATGGATCCCTCGTCCTCTGGGGGGTGGGGGGCATTGATCAGCTGACAGAGCAGCACAGAAGTGGCTGTCGGCAAACATGTTTAACCGGCAAGAAGACATTTCATCATCCTGGACAGACAGACAAATGAAAGCTTCCTTTCATACTCTGGTATTTAAAAAAAAAACAAAAAACAGTTTTACAAATACTTTTATTCTTTTAGGAGAACACGCGGGTCCACGAGGCTGGGAATGGAGAGTTAATCCCCTGAGTCAGTGGGATGCCAACCGCACAACAGGTCTCCAATCCAGCGGCTTAATTCGAATTCTTTCATTCGCAACGTGTAACATTCAAAGCACAAACGGCAAAAGAAAAAAATCATTTAAAAGTGGGAATGTTGACGAATAGAAGCCCCGTGTACACAGCAGATGGGTCATATAGCCTAAATAATGCGTAGCGAGCTCCATTGTGGGTGAACCAGAGTATTTTGGATATGAGGACAACCTGTCCACGACTTTTTCTTCTTCTTTTTTAAAAACTCTTCCTTCCAATCGCCGCTACGACTCATTGGCTCTCCTTCTCAAACACAAGGCAAGAGTGAGGAATGCTGTATATTAATGTCCCACCACATCAAGGGGATGAGTGGGTGTTACTCATCCTGCGAGCGTGCGACGGACATTTGCTGTTTACTTCGCCAACTTCTGAGCTGCGATTGTCCTTTGCGCCGATTCCAGGAAGACTTGAGAGAAAGTGTGAGCCGGACGTCGGCAGAAATAACGAGGCCTGGGTTCAATCGCCACAGCAGGCAGAAGAAGATATTGTCCATCTCACCCATGTGGTGGGAGTGTGTTTGGAAAAGGTCCTGCTTCCTCCCAGAAGCACAAGCGAAATGGAAGAAGAAATGAAGCCGTGGCATTTACTTTACAGGAATCGGAAAATGTTCTTTTTCAAAGCTCCATTCATATTTTCACAAACTTTCACAGCCCGGTGTGACGGTTTAGAACGGCGGACAGCGAGGAGCCACATTGCTATCGGTGTGACAGGGCCGAGTTCTTAAGGGGTAAACAACTTTGGTAATGCAGAAGTGTTTAGTAATAAGAGGCTTTGCTCAGTGCAAAAACAAACCCTCATCTTTAATACATATCTGCTGCCGCAGTGTCAGCTTCTTGTCATTTTAACAGCACATCCATAGAACAGCGCTCACACAGGAAGTCAAACCAGCTCACGTCGCCACCACTCTCAGAAAGCGCACAACCCCGTCCAAGGCCTGAGTGAAAATCTTGATTTAACATCTGACATTATGCAGGCGTCTGGTCTCTACTTAACATGCTGCGCGAGCAAACAGGAACTGAGAATACGAGATGAGCACTGGGGGGGGGGAGTTTGTTTCCCGTCACCTCCCGAGATCCTAAGATCTGTCAGACGACACGTTACTTTGACACGAGTAGGACAGAGTGTTATAGGCAGAAATGTCCTGTTGTGACGGCGTTTCCAGAAACCCAAACAACACGCTAGCTGGTGTCATGAGTGCTGTGAAATACATTCTCCAAAAATATTAAGACACGGGAACATTTGAGCTGGAATGAAAAGCTTTTTGAAGATGTTTTAGACTGCTGTGACACAAGCCAGCCAGTATAGTAGTATACTGGTATGGCTTGAGTAACAGAGCTGACGAACTAATGAAAGACTATTTTCACATTTGAGCGAGCAACAGGGGGTCGTTTGGCCCTTCTAGTTTCATTGCAAACACCTAAAATTGACCAAAAAAATAAACATTTAAGACAAAAAGATTGCAATTTGCAACTTGGGGAGACTCAAGTCAAATATTGCTGCATTTTACGAGAAGGAATAAGCTTTCACTTTAGATATAGTGTTGGTAAACACCTTGTCAAGGAAAAAACTTAATTGTTTTTATTAGCGGTAAACGTAATCGATCGTTAAAACTCCCCATTGCCGTAAATATAAAAAAAATTGTTAACTTAAGGCCGGATTTCTTCGCGAGTCATTTTATGCGACTGTGGCCGGAATCCCCATCTCCACTTAACGGCTGATAAACACAATTCTCTGCATGCTGACAGTGTCCATTTCATCAGGAAGAGTCGAACACATCCCCCCCGTTGGGAGCTGGTTTGTCAAACGGCTTCCCACAGAGCTCCAAGCTAGCCCAGGCTGGAGGGGAGGCGAAGGCTGAGCGAGGGGGTGTGAGAAGGTGTCAGGGATGTCCATGAATATCGATCCAAAATGTCCAAAACGGTCACTGTGGCCGTCAACGCTGAAATAAGAGAATACGCAGCGTTTTTCTGGAGGGAGAGGGCTACCTGCGGTGAGAGGAGAATGCCACACGGAGATACACTTCGGTGGGAGTAGAGGGCGCTTGTCGCTGGTCCACAACCGTACAGTGGAGAATAAAAAGAGAAATTCGACACAGGGTTTTGTAATAAAAGAACAGAACAGATTTCTTCTCCTTCATCTGGCTACCTGTGGTTTCTGGATCTCAAGTCCGTACACTTCTATCACGAAACCCTGCGGTGATAAAAAAATAATTTAAAAAAGCAAAACATTAGGACAACGGTGGAAGTTGGGTCCGCGCGATTTTTTTTTTGTTTCGTTTATTTCATTTTTAAAAACTTTTTTTTTTTTTTTTTTTTATGCGCAATGTTGGATAAAATGTAAATTTATTCAAATAGCAATATCTAAAAATCTTCCGTACGCTTGCACCAGATACAAAGCTACCGAATCAACCAAATATCTGTGTTGCTTCAAGTTAAAAAAAAAGAAAAAGTGTCTTAACCCGCTGTGCTTTTGAAACCACAGGAAACCGTCAATGGGCAAAATACAAAATGGTTGTCCACGGGAGAGCGGTGGGTCAGCATGTATGTGTGTGTGTGTGCAAACGTGGATCAGTGGAGACCCCCTACCTGGGCATCGCGCTTCCTCCACTCCTGGGTGTGCTGTTGGTGCTGCTGCAGGGCTGCCCTGGCCTGCCTCTCCAGGCTGCTCACCTCCCACTGGCGCTCCTGGACCAGGCTGTCCTGTTCCGCGCTGTGCTGCTGCTGTAGCCGCGTCCTCTCCTGCTCGTGCTGCACGCGCTGCTCAGCCATCTGATTGGACAAGCAGGCAAAAGAGAGACTTCATCAGCCAACACACACTCAGAGCAATCCTGTCGTCATGACAACTTGTCCATCCACCGATCCATTCATCCTTTTCTTCGTCCGATTCCTTAAAAAAACAACAACAACCTATGCCCTCCACCTAGAACACCCGACCAATTTGGGGCGAAAAAGCGAGAAAAGTTTCTCCGATTCCTCACGTTGTCAGACATGAAGTGATGTGTTTACATCTGTCTCGCTCCACCCGCCCTCCCGCCAATTGTACAGACCAGCCGTCAATGTCCCACTCCTCTCTCTCTCTCGCTCTTCAAATCTGTCCCCCCTCGCCCTATTCTGCCATCGGCATATAAAAGAGCAGCTAGTTTGGGCTCCGCATGCGAGCTGGTAGGGGTTAGCCATCTGGCAGCAGCAACTACCCAATGCCCCCATGCTATGCGCCTGACAGCATGCGAAAATCGGCTTAGGCGATGAATATGATGATCATTATAAACCCAAATCGGGAAAAAAAAAAAACTGGAGCGAGAGAGAGTCAAGGATAGCCGAAAACTTTGAGGAGAACCCAGAAGATGCTGAAAGGTTCTTCCAGGCTGCTATCATGAGGATATATGAAGTATAGCAAGGAGCTGTCTGCACCAGTCAACAAGACAACTTCAGTCTCACTGGAGTTACAACCAGCTACACACAATACAGTAGAGGAAAATACAACACTTTTAATGGGACACAAAGCCCCAATTTCTCAGGGCTTAATCGTCCTGGCAGCTGAAGCGAGTGTGTGTTCCAGCACGACAGTGAGCGGAGAGTCACCTGCTGAGAGGTGAGCCTTGGCAGCAGAGCTCCTAGCACCGAGCCCCCCCCCCCCCCCCCAAGCCTTTCCCAGGCTCTGTTCCCTTCCCACTCCCCCATGGCGGGAGGGACCAGTGACCCCCACACCATCCCGCCGTGCAGTCCCAGCCGGAGTCTTGAAAGGACAGCAGGCAGCCTGGGGCCCATTCGCTTCCCTGCTTTGAAGCTAATCCCCCGCACATTGTGCTTGACGGCACCCTACCTGGCCTGCCAGAGAAGCGGAGATCCTCGGGCCTCTGTGCCCCGGTGCCTGCTACACCCACGGCCCTATCTTCGGGACGTTGCGCGCTATTCAGAGCAGGTGATGAATGAGCGGCTATCTACAGGAAGCCGGATCCCGTCCCCAGCACTGAGAGGAAGGCCACAATAGACACTTCAATTTGGGCAGTCAAGAATTCACCCCTCGGGTTTGGAGAGAGCTTTGCCCTCTGAAAAGAGCAACGGGAAAAGTGTATTTTATCTCTGCGGCTCAGTTAAGGGCATTAAAGAGACACGCACACACCCTCACACATTCCCATTTTCTCCAGTTCGTAGTAGAACACTATAGAGCTCCATTAAACAAACACTATGAAGGATGTGGGCAACATCTTCCACGTGCTGCCACTGGCAATGCTGATGCCGTCTACGGTCCACTCCACAGACTTCCATAATAGATGAGATCCACAGTCAGAATACGTTGTCCCACGGGGAAAGTTGGATTCATACAGCAGCACAAGTTCACAGCTGACAGACTGACAAGCAGGCAGTGGCTTCGAGAACTCCCCAGCAGGACATCGTGGCTTACTGTTCGCTCCGGTTCAGAGTCTCAGGTCATGGGGGAGGGGGGGTGTTGTTTTTGGAGGAAAGAAGGGATCTGAGATGAAACGAGGATGACGAAGAATTGGGCAAGATAGATCCGTTGTGAGAAAAACAGCTAAAAAGGAAAAAGAAAGACGGAGAAGTGATGACAGAGAGCAGACCCAGCTAGGAGCCTGGTTGTGACATCACGTAGCGCCAGCGTGCAGCGGAGGATGCTGGGTGCTGCGGTTCTTAAAGGGGCCGGCGTGGCGTTTATGAGGGAAGACTGAGTCGGTTACAGCACAGCTTGGTGCCACGGATACAGAGTGGGCCGGGTGTTACTGCACAGCAGGACTCCTGTCAGACCGGCCTGACATGGTTGTGTGTGTGTGTGTGCGCGCACTGAGCCAGGACAGTGAGGTAATGGGCTTCTTTCAAGCCCCTGGGTGGGGGGGGGGAGATCTGAAATGTTTGGGAAGCAGGAGGATAGAGGAGGGTTGAACAGAAGCCCTGTCTGGTCCCAGCAGGGGAGGCTGGGGTGGGTGTGGGAAGGACGAGAGAGGATGGAAGAAAGACGAGCCTCTCGCTGTAAGATCTGAACTGAAGATGGCCGGTGAGCGGCGCTGGACATAAGTATTCATCTCTGCGTACAGTTCGTACACACACTTGCATATCTATAAACTATAGGCTCCTATATTATCTGCTCTACCAAGCTAACATCTGACCTCCCCACATCACGAGGCAGAGCTCCGTCAAGAGGCCATGACGTCCGGCTGCAAACAGGGTCGGCTGGAAAACAACTCATTCATACATAGCTCCTTTTTTTTTTTTTAATGTGTCATTGAAGTCGCCCTTGAGGGAATGTTCCTTTGTGAGCATCTGAATGGACAAACTTGACCTCCTGCAATCGTGTGACACCAATCTCTGTGGAGCGGAGACACAATGCACAGACACATGGGTGAGCGGGTGCACACAGAGTACCCGTGGTCATGCAGTGTGTGTTAAAGAATGCACACACAACATAAAACGATTGTGCTCGCAGTAACTCATGAATAATCACACGTCTTCACGCGTGTGTACAGAAAAAAACAAAACGTCCTTTTTCTTTCTCTACCCTTCTAACTGTGTAGCTAATGTCACCAGCGCTCGCATCAACATCATCACGATGACGACAGGCCTTTTCGTCTTTGTGTGTTTTTCATCTTCAAGACAAAAGGCTGCCTGACGAGCTGCTAACCCTGTGTAGCCGGCTTCAACTGTCAACTGCACCCCCACACTCTGAAGCAGCAGATGATAATCGTCAGCTTCAGTTGTTCCTGCGACGCTTTGATTACTTACCTGTTTTTCACATGAGATGGAATTTACGATACCTTCAGAGCAATACGCTGGAGCTGACACTCAAAAACACCGATAAATCCTCCGTTACTGGATCACTTTAGAGGCATGAAAATGTCTTTTGGATACACGTACAATCTGTTTAAAGGTTTAAGCGGCATTGTCTGATTTCTATGACTATATGTGATTACAGAAAGAGCATTTCCCCACTTTCCCCAAATGAGTTTTTGGTGGATACAAAAAAATCCTATTTGAATCTTTTGAAAGTGTGATTTACAAACACAAAGTGTTCAGTCATGGCGCAAATCAATAACGGGCAACCATCTCTCTACTCCTTGGATATAACACCGGGCTTCTATCCTTCTACGGCAAAATCTACGGCAAATTACACGCGGCGTAAACTCCATCGGTCCTGGAGATGAGCGCTCGCATGCTTATTAACGGACAGGTTGAGTGCTGGCAGTGAATCGTGCCGCGGGTACAGATGGGAAACAAACACGAGATAGTGCTGTCGTCTCTTAAATCGTCTTCATTTAAAGGAATAATAAAAGAACTTAAATTATATATTATTTGATGGCAATCTAGGGAAAAATGAATGTCTTATTTATTAGTTGCTATGCAGGACTGAATGATTATGCCTGAGTGAAGCTATTTTGTATCTTATATACATTGTAATACGAATTAGGGTATTCACTAGTGGACAAAACCCACTTGCTGCCCGCTGAGGTTAAAGTGAAATGTAAGTAATAGAAAGATAAACTTTGCTACAATGAGACTGGCGGCCTCCGATAATATCCATTTATGTGGTTTAATTGAATCCCATGCCGTATGAGAGATGTCCTCCTATCAGCAAGCTGGATTTCAATGAGAAGCGAAAAAAACAAAACGGTTTCTAGACTCCTAATCGAAGAAGAGTGACAGAGATGCGACGATAAGCGGACCGAGTGTCTGCTATGCAGATTGCATTCGTTTTCAATTGGCAACGTTTAGGATATTTATTGAGCTGCAATCCAAGCGTAATCTAAAGCGTGTCCCTTATCGTGAGGAATGAATCAGGTGGAACAGATGTGGAGGAATAACAAAATGAATGTCAGTCCCCTTTGGTTGGCTCCGGCTGCCCAAAGAAAAGATCCAACAATGTGATGATGATGAGGAGCGAGAGGAGACTTCTTTCCACTGGCTTCTTCGCGAGGCGACGAGCAAGAGAACTTCTCACACGTGCAGGTTTAGGTTGACAAACACGCGGTCGACAGACGGACAGAAACTTAAAGAGACTCGTACAGACCTGCTGCTCGTATTTCTGTCGGAGTGCGTCGAGCTGCTGGCAGAACTCTTTGGCCTGGTTCTCCCTGAGGGACTTGGAGCGGATCAGGTCCTCCTCCACCTTCTCCATCTGGAGGCATGAGAAGAATAAAAGTAAAAGACTAAAAAAAATAATTCAACTTTTCAGATACATAAATGATAAAACGTTTGTGTAAATTGGAAAGTGATATAAAGAGACTAGAACATGAGCATAAAACAACCGCGGACAATGATTCACTGAAACAACACTGTGTTGTAGAGCTGCTCTGGACGGAGAACTTAAAGCTGAAGGAGCTCTTAGTCGGGCAAGTCGTCTACTTGCCTTTCAATTGAGGAGAGCAAAGTCAAATATCATAGTATCTAAAATAAGACACCCGACGTCTAGGGCTGAGGTGGCAGGGGCATTTCAAACATTTTACCAGAACCCCGATGATGCTCCAGATGAGGCTCAAAGGGTGGCAAAAATTAAAAGGGATTTTTTAATGATCTTAAATTTGGCAAAGTGGACTCAAGCAGAGCAGTTAACAGCCCCAAAAGCGGAATAGAGGAAACCATTAAATCTTTGAAAAACAATGGATTGCCCTGCGAATGTTGTCTGTTCTTTGTGACAGACTTTACACCTGATCTTTGTGCAGTCTTCAACTATGCCTTAGATGACAATGACCCACCCACGAGCTGGTCAGAGGATATAATATCAGTAATTCATAAGGAGGGCAAGGATCCGCTAGAGTTTGGCTCCTGTGGACCAATCAGCCTGCTTGGGAATGATTCTTAGCTCCGTATTGGCGAACAGGGTGCAGAGATATTTAGGGAAATTAAATCAACCTTGACCAGACTACCTAATATTAGAGGAATTTTAAACTTAGTGGCTAGGGACTACAGCTACCCCTCAATGCTTCTTAAGCCTCGGTTAGACTTTCTATACTACACTGACGTGAAGTTGTGATGAGGAAACATTTGATAGATTTTAAACTCCACATGGCAAACCCACATTCTCAAGCTCCTCAAAGCTCTGTGTCTGATGCTGCGACGCAACTTTAGCCGTGCGGACACTTGAAGCCCTCTCGGATATTTTTTGTTATATCAATATTATTTATGTATGTTAAGTTGGTTGAGACTTATTGTAATGGTTTAAATAAATGTTAAAAAACCCCCACAAACATTAAGGCTTGGTTCGCCATCTGAAACATTGTGATATTAATATACAGGTGCTGGTCATATAATTAGAATATCATCAAAAAGTTGATTTATTTCACTAATTCCATTCAAAAAGTGAAACATGTCTATTATATTCATTCATTACACACAGACTGATATATTTCAAATG